CGCACCACCGCGCTGCGCTGCCCAAGGCACGCAGCTCCGAGGACCTGGGCCCGCGAACCTCCTGCGCCCTGCAGCACCTGCGCCGCGGCCTGCGCCAGCTATTCCGCCGTCGCTCGGCTGGGGAGCTGCCAGGGCCTGCCAGCGACACCAATGATACCGATAACGACAACACCGCCACCAGCAGGCCAGGACCAGCCCGCAAGCTGTTACCCTGGAACCTGCGGGAGCCAGCAGCGGAGGCACTCAAGGAGGCGGCGCTGCGTTACAGCCTGGCGGATGAGGCGGCCATGGACAGTGGTGCACACTGGCAGCGGGGTCGCCTGGTGCTGCGGGCCCCTGGTCCAGGCCATGGCCGTCTGCTGCAGCTCTTCGACCCCCCCAAGGTGAGAGCCTGCACTGTATGCCCATAGCTCGGCAGGCGTCCGTGACCCCGACTTATCCAGGGCAGTGAGTCAGTGACCATGGAGAGTTAAAGGCCGCCTTGGGCACTGTTCACTCTGTCGATGGGTTAGAGCAGATAGGTCAAAGTCTTTGAAAGTCCGGATCCAAATGAGCTTTTAGGAAGTCCTTTTAGGCTGAAAGATACTCCTGCTGTGTCCTCCTGCTGTCTCTTTTCTGAGAAGTTTTCTCTGTCTTGGCTGGTGGCCTGGGCTTCACTCATTCTGCCAGCAGGCAGGCAGGGCCCAGGGTCTTAGTGCTATGCTGCGGTGGTAGCCATCCCTGCTGTGAGGGTGTGTGAGGCCTGGCTATCTGCCTTGATTTCTTCTCTGTTCTGTGATCCCATTCAGCATGACAGCCTGGCTGTAGGGTGACAGTGATATGAGCCCAACCCCGAGGCACTGGTGGCCATGTGGTGCAGACCAGTGATCACTGGACAGATACTTATTAGCACCTACTGTATGCTGGGCACACGTTAGGAACTGGGAAGCTGCCCTTCTAATGAGAGCAGGCCCCCAGTGAGCATACACTTGGCATTGTTGCACAGGAAAGGCAGTCGAGTCTGCTAGGGTGTTGAAGGGCCTTGAAAGACAATCTTCCATATCAATGGCTGTCTTGTGCTGCAGCTCTGAAGCTCTGAGTTTCATGTGTGCCTCCTAGTGATCAAAAGGACCTGCATTTCCCCACCCTCTGCCTTTCTCTCCAGTGCGGAGTCTGGTTTTGTTTTTGAGATAGGGTCTTATCTAGCCTAGCCTGGTCTTGAAATAGCTATGTAGAGGATGATCTTGAAGTATGAGCCTCTTGTCTCTACCTCTTGGATGCTGGGATTATAGGCATGCCCACTGGGCCTATTCTATGTGGTGCTAGGGACTGAACCTGGGCATTGTGAGTGGTCAGCAGGACTCTAATCACTAGGCCAGTCTCAGCCCCTATGTATTTACTTATTTTTTTAAGATTCACTCTTTTGAGTACATTGGGTTTTGCCTATATGTATGTCTATATGGGGATGCCAGATCCCCTGGAACTGTAGTTACAGACAGTTGTAAATGGCCATGTGGGTGCTGGGAATTGAATCCTGGTCCTGTAGAAGAGCAACCAGTGGTCTTAACTCTGAGCCACCTCTCCAGTCCCCTATAGTGTTGAACTTTTGTATTCTTTTCAGTGCAAGCACTAGCCCATAACTGGTTTAGTGATCACCTGTTGTTGAGTGGTTTGGTGGTTTCTACTTCAGTGCCTCCTGCTGCCCCCCCCCCCCCCCAGAGAGGAGAAGGTCTTGCTGAGATCCTCTTGCATCAGCCTCCCAAGTATATGCTCCTATACTTGGCTTTTTTGGGATTTTTCTGGATAATGTCATAGTGACATTTGAATATAAGTTTCTGCAGGGCATGTGTTTTTGTTTCTGTTGGGTGTATTTCTGGAAATATTGCTGCCGACACCATGGCTTTTTCCAAGTGGCTGTGCCAGTTGGTGTCCCTAGTGTTGGTGACTGAGGGACCCCTGCCTTTACAGCCTCATTTACTCTTGAACCTGGTCAGTGCCAGTGGATATGCCCTGGTGTCTCAGGACCGTTAGTATGTCATATTTACTGTGATTTATTCTTTTGTGAAGAACCTGTTTTCTTTCTTTCTTTTAAATTTTGTCCTTTGTGTGTCTGCATCTGTGTTTGGGTATGCATGTGTGCATGTATGCATGCATGTGGAGGGCAGAGAATGACTTTGGGTGTCTTTGTTCTCCACCTTATTTTTTTTTAAAGATTTTTATTTATTTATTATGTATACATTACAGTGTTCTGCCTCCGTATGTGACTGCATGCCAGAAGAGGGCACCAGATCTCATTGTAGATGGTTGTGAGCCACCATGTGGTTGCTGGGAATTGAACTCAGGACCTCTGGAAGAGCAGTCAGCATCCTTAACCTCTGAGCCATCTCTCCAGCCCTCTCCACCTTATTTTTATTTTATTTTATTTATTTATTTATTTATTATGTATACAATATCCTGTGTGGGCCTAAAGGCCAGGAGAGGGCACCAGACCTCATTACAGATGGTTGTGAGCCACCATGTGGTTGCTGGGAATTGAACTCAGGACCTTTGGAAGAGCAGGCAACGCTCTTAACCACTGAGCCATCTCTCCAGCCCCCTCCACCTTATTTTTAAAGACAAGATGTTTGGACCTGGAGCTCATCAATTCAGCTAGCCCACCTGGCCAGGGAGCCCCAGGGGTCTGTCTGTCTCTTCCCTGTGCTGGGCTGTGCCCAGCTATTTCCAGGATTGTTGGGAGTTCCTGTGTTTGTGGGTCATGCTTTTCCAGCTGAGCCATTCCCTTGTCCTGGGTTCCCTTTCTTAGGACTTCCCAGGCTTCAGTGTGGAGTGGCACTCTTCTGCTGCAGTGAAGACTGCCTCTTTACATTCTCGCCTTTCATGTTGGTTCAGTCACTGTAATAAATTAGCCTGTGCAGGGATGGGAGTGTGGAAGTCAGAAGTCAGTTTTCTCCTTCTGCCACCTGGGTCTCTGGGAATGGCTTAGTGGCAAGCACCTTCCTTTACTTGCTGAGTCATTTTGACAGATTATTTTTTTGAGACACCATCTCCCTATGTAGCTGAGGTTGGCCTTCAAGTCTTCAATCTCCTGCCAAGTCTCCTAAGTGCTGGAATTACAGGACAGGTATGCACCACCAAACTGGTTAAGAAGCTCCCCATTTCATTGCTTTCTGTATCCTGCTTAAGAAATCTTGGCCCAGCCCAGCTTTGTGGGCTTTTTTCCTGGAACTTTTTGGAGGCCTTCACAATATGGCCATGGGCATCTGGGCTGAGTTTGTATATGGGACTGAGGCGGGCTACCACACTCTGCCAGTGGATATGCGGCTGTGTGCTGGGGAGACTCTTTCCTGTTAGTCCAAGGCCACTTGATGCTTAAGTGCCCATCTGTAGGAATGTGTTTCTGGAAGTCTTCTGTCCTGCTGGCTAATATTCTGGCTTATGTCAACACCACTGTTTAATTTGCCAAAGTTTCCTTGCCTTTTTCCCCTCACCCTAGACAGGGCCTCACTCGGTAGCCTGGGTAGATCTGGAAATCAATATATAGCACAGGCTGGCCTTCAAATGAAGGCAGTTTTCTGTCTCTAACCCCCTAAGTGCTGAGATACAGGCGCATGCCACCACACTTGACTCCTTGTGAATCTGGAGGGGAACCTGCTGACTGGCAGCAGGGGACAGCTGACTAAAGGCCCCAAGGTGGGAAGGTGTGGAGCATATTTGAAGGAAGAGTCAGGAAAGCTGCCAGGTTGGGTGGAGGCCACCCTGAGGACTTAGCGCTGTGCTCCAAACAAGCACATGGGTGAGTGAACACTTCTCCTTATTCATAAGGAGCCCTGGAAGGAGAAAAAGCCTACTATAATCTCCGTCGATGGGAAGTGAAGGTATTAGATCAAGGTCAGTGTTAGTTACATATCAAAATGGGGTTAGCCTGGGCACCCCCTCTCCAATTATCCCAGTACTCTGGAAGCTGGGGCAGGAGGATTGCCTGTCCAAGTTGAGCCTAGGATACAAAGTAAGCCCATCTAAAAAAATAGAACCAGACGTCTTGAGACTGTGACATAGGAGAGTTCCTGTACCTGATCTTAACCTGTGTGGTCTAGTAGAGACCAGAGGACATCACTGGCTGAGTGGCCTCTGTGCAGTCTCAGGGCAGTGGCCGGGGATGCTGTGTGGGTGTGGTAGACAGTCATATTTCAACAATGCCCCAGCTGGAGGTGCCATTGCTATACCATAGGGAGCCCCAGCCTTTGCACCCCCAAGGGGCTGCTGGTCCCTACCGCTTGGCCCAGTTGGTAGAGGTGGTTTCCAGGCCTGGTGACTTCCATGGCACTTGTGCTGTCCCTACAAGGCAAACAGCCTGGTGGCTCTCTCAGCCCCTTAGAGCAACAGGTTAGACCAGGCTCAGTCTCACTTTGAGACTGAAGGCCTAGTATCACCACTCCCTGTGGCTTCTGTGGTGTCAGGAACAGGAGTGACTTCAGAGTTTGCCGTGGTCGGGCCTGCAGGAGCTGTTGCTTAGAAAGGTTTCACAGCTAGTGGTGGAGAGAGGTTTGGAGTGCTGTAGGAAGGGAGCAGGTGGAAGACATCTAATGCCAGTGATCTCTTAAGTGTGGCTGTGTGGCCCGAAATAGGTGCTTCAGAAGCTAGAGTGGTAATGAGCAGGAGAGCCATGCACTTGCTGGGCACAAGGACAGGAGGCTAAGAGGCCTGAGGAGCCCAGGGCATACAAGGGACCTTGCCTCCCTTCCTCCCTGCTGTGTGGGAAAGAGGAAGCAGAAAGAAAGGGCTGGCCACTGCCGGCCTGGCGGTTTCCTCTGGGCTGGGGAGGTGGCGGGGAGGTGGCAGGAAGCCCTATTCTGTACCCACCAGCTCTGCCGGGTTCCAGGCTCTGTGGTCCCATAGCCCCACCTCCACCTCCACCTCCGCCCAGCCATGGGAAAGGCACTTGACCCTTGAAAGACAGGCCTGGCTTTGGCCCTTTCCAGCTGCTGTCCCTGATGCAGTGACTTTCCCTGTGGCAAGCACTATAGCTGACTCAGCCATGGAGTCCTCCCAAAATCCCTTTGGGGGCCCATCATGACGTCAATTCCCATAGAAGAAGACTGGTCCAAGTCTAGAGGTGGAGGAGGCAGAAATGGGGTATTGTGTGAGCATATGGCAGGGGACATTAGGGTTGGAATTGTGTTTGAACCCCTAAATGTGCAGATGGCTTTCACTGCCACCACCTTCATGGAAGTTGGTTGGCCGTTGCTTTGTGGAAAGCCATCAAGGAGTCAGAGCTATGGGCTCAGTGTTGGGCTAAAGGCCGTGTGATGGACACTGGGAAAGGGGCACGTCTGAGCTCATAGTTTGGCTTATGTCTTTGGGGTGTAGCTCTGGGCTGACTTTCTGAGTCTCAGTTTTCCTGTAT